TTTTTTTTTCTCGTGTACAATTGTAAGTAAGGTCATGTTTAATCTCACGTATGTTGTTACGGGTGTGATGTATTGTTCTGTAGACACTCCAGCATGAGTGAGCTACTCTCATGAGCTTAGTATTGTGGGAGGTATGGCTGCAAGAAACCACGACACGCATGGTTTTATACGTGTGGTACTGTTAAATCATACTATTATAATTATATTTTCCTGTCGTTGGTGGTCTTTGTTTGAGAAGCAATGGAATTACGTGTTCTTTATATCGTAATCAACTGTACATAGCAAAACGTAATGTTAAATAGATTAAGGGGGAGATTTGATTGGGTTACAATGTTATTGCAGCTGGTGTATAGGTATTACTGTTTTTCCGTGTAACGCTTCACAAATCGAGCGTAAACTGATGTTGTTTACGCAAATGTGTGAAATCGTACCTTGGTAGTACTTATACATTGCTGGATGTATGTGGTTGCACTATAGTTGCTAGTATAGGATGATGTCAAACCCCTCCCCCCTCCTTTTACACACTCAGGCTGTTCATGGCAGTAATTGTTAATGATAAGATACTGGTGATGTCACTGTTTCCACCAGCCCTTATTTTGTAGTTGTGATCACGTTACTGTGTTCAATAGACACATACACTGCGATGACACCTACATTGATATATATATATATATAGATATATATATATTATATATGGATATCTATATGGATATATATATATATATATATATATATATATATATACATATATATTATATCACAGCGTGAACTTATGTCGCAGGGATCAGTGCAGTGGAAGAGATGGGGAAAAACTTGGCTTTACCAGTGTAGCCCCTTAGCTGCTGTTACACGAGTGAAGGAGTGAAGGGGCGAAGGAGCAACACGGGTAGAGCTAGGGAACACTGTGGTTGTGGTAGATGCTGGTGATGCGATTGATAAGCCTCATCGGCTCGTTCTCATTCATCTGCGAGCTCATTAGTATGTAGTACTACCGGCGTAGCCCCTTCCACTGCAGGGGGCGCTGTAGCGGGAGCGAAGGCGCTATAGGGGGCGCTGTAGCGGGAGCGAAGGCGCTATAGTGGGAGCGATGGCGCTATAGGGGGCGCTGTAGCAGGAGCGAAGGCGCTATAGGGGGCGCTGTAGCAGGAGCGAAGGTGCTACGCCGATAGATCTAGGGCTAATTAGTAATTAGCAGTTGCTGTGTAAGATGGATCTCATCGGTGGTGCAAACATAGCTCGGACGTACGTCGTCGTCGTTGTGCTGCCTGGCAGAGTGTACGTCATGTACTACTGCTGTGTGAGTTATTTTGTCCATTCCATGATAGGATTTGTACGAGTAGTTGCAGCGCTGTTGCCTATAGAGCGCATACGTTTAGTGTATCATAGCTTATAACTCCCCGTACTATTAGTGAGATATATATAATGACCCCCCCCCCCCCTGTGCAAGGTGATGACGTGTACAGCCTTCGTTAGCCACATCAATATTTATTATATGGAGTGATCGCACGGGCATGTGTTAGCGGGAGGGCAGGTGTAATAGGTTTGGTCATCTTTTGTTAGCACGTACATATTATGCATCATGTTTGTGTGTAAGAAAAGCCATTGGAATGTGAGCTGGTAAGCTGGACGTAGGATTATGAGAGCACATAATAATATATGACCTGCCTAACTTTCACAATCATGTACAGTATGTAGTAATAGCGCAGTGAAGTAAGACGACTAAGTGAGTATAATTATAGGTTATAAGGATATGAAATATAATAGGAACAGCTGTATAATATGATCGTTTTCCGATGCGTTTTATTTCTTTCGTGCGGCTTGTTTTGTTTTGACGATATCCATCCACCCTCACCTTTGTTTACATTCCTGTAGCTGTTAACTGATATCAGGAGTGAATAATAGAGATCAATCTCTATTATTCACTCCTGCTGATATAATGTCACACACGCGTTTCGGAGTGCATATGATTCGTCCAGTGGATTCCAATGTATTCGAGTCGGCACCCGCTCTGTGACCCGAAAAATGAAGACATGGATGACCCTTGGTGACATGTGCCGTGTCATGCTTACAGCGCGTTGTAGATTGATATCAGCGGGAGTAAATAATAGCATTACTATTGTATAATTTTACAATTACGTTTCTGTTATTTGCTCCCGATGCCACACGATAACCTTTGCGAATTCATTATTGCCACCGATTAGCAACAAACATGTGTACGAGTAGCAGGTTCTGCAATGGACGGACCATCCAGTTTTTTCTTCAGCATATCCCCCTGCCAATTAAGTTCCTTCTAGGCCTCATAGTAAGTGTGACCTTGATTTCACTATAGTCTAAAAACCGAATTCGATCCTGTTTCACCAATCGCAGTCGGTACTGCTGGATCTGTTTACTTTATTTCTTTTTCTCACCGCGTTAAAAATACCACAACTCTATCTCCCCAGTAGGCAGTGCACCATGCTATATATAGTGCTAGTGCTAGTTCCCTCAGGCTCATGCAAGCACAGACAGCGAGGAAACTGTTTTAGAACGGACAACTTCATAATGGACACTCGTCTTCTTCTTCACCGAGCGGCAGTTATACAGTGAACCCACCTCCATAGAACGGACGTCTCTACAAAGCACGCTTATGGAGTGACCTTTATATAGGGTGGTTGACCGTAGTGAGAGCGGTAAAGTAACGAGCAGGCAGTCCCTCTGCTAGCATTGTTAAACCACGCGTGCACGAATCGTGGCTGTTGCTGTGGGAATATACACGTCTCGGCCAACACCGGTCCGGTGTTGACCTCTTAAATATTAGTCTTCAAAGTCCAAGGGACTATATCGAAGAGGAGTGTTTGGATTGTATCCAGTGGACGCGGCCATTGCAGGCACCTATAGGCCAGATTCGTCCACCACAGGTGAGCACCTGCGAGAGAAGGGTGTGCGATGCAACTAACCATGTTGATTGGTGGTGACAGTTGTTGTAGCCATGCACGCAGCGTGTGCTAAATGTTGAAATTACACCTACTAGCCTTTGTTTGTTCTAGGTAGATAATAATAGCTGATAGTGTGTTAGTTGGTGATATTATTAATAGGAAGGAAGATGTTTTGTGAATGACTAACGGTGGTGGTGGTGTGGTTTGAGAAGGTTATGATGCGACTAACTATGTTGGTGATGATGGTTGCTGTAGCCACGCAGCGTGTGCTAAATGTTGAAATTACACCTACTAGACTTTGTTTGTTCTAGGTAGATAATAACTGATGATAGTGTGTTTGTTTGTGATGATGTTTTTACTAATAATAGGAATGTAGATGTTTTGTGAATGACTAACGGTGTTGGTGGGTGCGGGTGATTGCATGGTTATTACTGTCACCTTCTATTTACGCGATGAGTTGTTGTTGATCATGTTAAACCATGCTAGACAATATTAACCTGCTCATTGCTTCCTCTGCCTTGCATTATTTGCTACCATGTTTCATGTATAATATTTCGTGTATGACTATGTTACTAGCAGGAGTGTCATATAATACAGTCTATATTCTGACAATCCTGTCACTAGTTTGTGTAAATTTTGCACGATTAATCAACAATTATAGGTGCTAACAATCGTAAAAAAGTTTAGTCTACTAATCATTTATTACCAATCGGTACGTCACGTATCATCCGCGTCAATGGGTTCCACATATATTAAATGTTAAAGCTAGTTTTCACGAATTATTACGATAAAGCAGTTATTGCTCTGGTTGTAACAATAAAGAAATTACTATATTACACGTGACACTTAAAATGTAACGATGTTGCTCTCCTGAATGAACCGAAACGTGTTACGATGTGAAACCTTACAAGTCAAAGTCGCAGCTAGTGTGTCCGTGTGTGTGGACACGGGGGAACGTCTGTGAGGGGAAACTGCAGCTAACTCGAATACTCTCCGATTTCGTAGTAGGGTAGTTGATCCATGCCCGCGCCCATCCTCGTGTGTAATATTCCTCTTTGTTTTCTTCCCATTGCAGTTTTTGCTAGAGCTATCGGAGGATGGCAGTGGCAAGGGCGCTGCCGTTGTTGCGGCCGTCGCATGCCACCACGCGTACGGCAAGTCCGAGGAAAAGGACTAAAGCGGTGGCGCCACCTACTACATCATCACGCGCTTCCTCGGTTGATCGGCCCGCGTCGCCCCAGGTCCTCCGGTCACTCTCGGGGAGTGGCGATCGCGTGTACAGATACCAGCCGCGATCAAAAGACCCGTCTCGATTCTTGTTTGCCGCGGAGGGAGAGAATCGTAGGATGCGAGCCAGGCAACTTCGTGTGTCGTAGGGTGGGCGTGGGTTTATAGGCGACCTCGAGCTGTGGCACGTCGATATAATATGGATCTCAATAAATTGAGTAGAGCAAACGAATGAAATAGAACAAATAGAAGAAGGAACTTATTGTAATCATTAACGCAATAACAGGAGTAGGTCAGTTGTCTATAATGTTATGCCATCGATATTTGGTTACGAGACGAATGATACGGTTGCACATGATTTTGGAAAGTTGTTATCGGAAGGTATAGGTTCAGCTTTAATTCTTATCCCCAATGCACTGAAACCCTTGCTTAAAGCTGAAATTATACAAACGTTCATTACCACCACATTCCGGTAGCAAGTAGAAGTAAGTGTTTACATTTGTGTAGGTACTAGTTCGGTTGATTACATTATATCAGGTGTTAATAATAATAGATCTATTATTATTCACTAATAGATCTACAATAGATCTATTATTATTCACTAATAGATCTATAATAGATATATTATTATTCACTAATATATCTACAATAGATCTATTATTATTCACTAATAGATCTACAATAGATATATTATTATTCACTAATAGATTATAATAGATCTATTATTATTCACTAATAGATCTAGAATAGATCTATTATTATTCACTAATAGATCTACAATAGATCTATTATTATTCACTAATAGATCTACAATAGATATATTATTATTCACTAATAGATCTATAATAGATCTATTAT